AAATCCCCACTAGCATTAGCACAGAATATTAGCGTCAGCCTGTCTTTCATAGGCTTGTGTCCTGGCATTGCCTTTTCCTCTTGTGTAATGAAGGTCCTCTTTGGCATTTTCTTCCAAAAGAGGCCTGTTTCGTCACAATTGAACACTTGTTCAGGTTTCAGTCCTTCAGCCTCTATGTACTCCTGGAATTCATGCACATATTTTTCAGCCGCCTTGTGATCCGAACTGGCAGGTTCACCATGCCTTACCACACTGTGTATGCCAGTGCGGTTCTTAAATCTCTCAAACCAGCCTTTGCTGGCCTTAAATTCACTCACTTCACCTCTATTTGCAGGCAATTTCTTTACCAAATCTTCATGCAACTGCCTAGCCTTTTCACAAATAATCGAAGTCATAAGAGTATCTCCTGCTAATGGTTTCTCATTTATTTATTTTTTTTTTTCAACAAGTCGGTCGTCTCCCACCGAGGCAGGGTGACCCAAAAAAAAGAAAGAAAATCCCCAAAAAGAAAATACTTTCATCATCATTCAACACTTTCACCACACTCACACATTATCACTGCTTTTGCAGAGGTGCTCAGAATACAACAGCTTAGAAGCATATACGTATAAAGATACACAACATATCCCTCCAAACTGCCAATATCCCAAACCCCTCCTTTAAAGTGCAGGCATTGTACTTCCCATTTCCAGGACTCAAGTCCGACTATATGAAAATAACCGGTTTCCCTGAATCCCTTCACTAAATATTACCCTGCTCACACTCCAACAGATCGTCAGGTCCCAAGTATCATTCGTCTCCATTCACTCCTATCTAACACGCTCATGCACGCTTGCTGGAAGTCCAAGCCCCTCGCCCACAAAACCTCCTTTACCCCCTCTTTCCAACCCTTTCAAGGATGACCCCTACCCCTCTTTCCTTCCCCCTATAGATTTATATGCTTTCCATGTCATTCTACTTTGATCCATTCTCTCTAAATGACCAAACCACCTCAACAAACCCTCTTCTGCCCTCTGACTAATGCTTTTATTAACTCCACACCTTCTCCTAATTTCCACACTCTGAATTTTCTGCATAATATTTACACCACACATTGCCCTTAGACAGGACATCTCCACTGCCTCCAACCGTCTCCTCGCTGCTGCATTTACCACCCAAGCTTCACATCCATATAAGAGTGTTGGTACACTATACTTTCATACATTCCCTTCTTTGCCTCCATAGATAACGTTTTTTGACTCCACATATACCTCAACGCACCACTCACCTTTTTTCCCTCATGAATTCTATGATTAACCTCATCCTTCATAAATCCATCCGCCGACACTTCAACTCTTAAGTATCTGAAAACATTCACTTCTTCCATACTCCTCCTCCCCAATTTGATATCCAATTTTTTCTTTATCTAAATCATTTGATACCCTCATCACCTTACTCTTTTCTATGTCACTTTCAACTTTCTACCTTTACACACATTCTCAAACTCATCCACTAACCTTTGCAATTTTTCTTTAGAATCTCCCATAAGCACAGTATCATCAGCAAAAAGTTACTGTGTCAATTCCCATTTTGAATTTGATTCCCCATAATTTAATCCCACCCCTCTCCCGAACACCCTAGCATTTACTTCTTTTACAACCCCATCTATAAATATATTAAACAACCATGGTGACATTACACATCCCTGTCTAAGACCTACTTTTACCGGGAAGTATTCTCCCTCTCTTCTACATACCCTAACCTGAGCCTCGCTATCCTCATAAAAGCTCTTTACAGCATTTAGTAACTTACCACCTATTCCATATATTGCAACATCTGCCACATTGCTCCTCTATCCACTCTATCATATGCCTTTTCTAAATCCATAAATGCAATAAAAACTTCCCTACCTTTATCTAAATACTGTTCACATATATGCTTCAATGTAAACACTTGATCTACACATCCCCTACCCACTCTGAAGCCTCCTTGCTCTTTCCGCAATTCTACATTCTGTCTTACCTCTAATTCTTTCAATTATAACCCTACCGTATACTTTTCCTGGTATACTCAGTAAACTTATTCTCTATAATTTTTACAATCTCTTTTGTCCCCTTTCCCTTTATATAAAGGGACTATACATGCTCTCTGCCAATCCCTAGGTACCTTCCCCTCTTTCATACATTTATTAAACAAAAGTACCAACCACTCCAACACTATATCCCCCCCTGCTTTTAACATTTCTGTCATGATCCCATCAGTTCCAGCTGCTTTACCCCCTTTCATTCTACGTAATGCCTCACGTACCTCCACCACTCTTACATTCTGCTCTTCTTCACTCCTAAAAGATGGTATTCCTCCCTGGCCAGTGCATGAAATTACCGCCTCCCTTTCTTCCTCACATTTAAAAGTTCCTCAAAATATTCTCGCCATCTACCTAATACCTCCCTCTCCCCATCTACTAACTCCCCTACTCTGTTTTTAACTGACAAATCCATACTTTCCCTAGGCTTTCTTAACTTGTTTAACTCACTCCAAAATTTTTTCTTATTTTCATTAAAATTTCTTGACAGTGCCTCTCCCACTCTTTCATCTGCTCTCCTTTTGCACTCTCTCACCACTCTCTTCATCTTTCCTTTACTCTCCATATACTCTGCTCTTCTTATAACACTTCTGCTTTGTAAAAACCTCTCGTAAGCTACCTTTTTCTCTTTTATCACACCCTTTACTTCATCATTCCACCAATCACTCCTCTTTCCTCCTGCCCCCACCCTCCTATAACCACAAACTTCTGCCCCACATTCTAATATACTGCATTTTTAAAACTATTCCAACCCTCTTCAAACCCCCCACTTACTCATCTCTGCACTAGCCCATCTTTCTGCATTAGTTGCTTATATCTCGCCCGAACTTCCTCCTCCCTTAGTTTATACACTTTCACCTCCCTCTTACTTATTGTTGCCACCTTCCTCTTTTCCCATCTACCTCTTACTCTAACTGTAGCTACAACTAAATAATGATCCGATATATCAGTTGCCCCTCTATAAACATGTACATCCTGGAGCCTACCCATCAACCTTTTATCCACCAATACATAATCTAACAAACTACTTTCATTACATGCTACATCATACCTTGTATATTTATTTATCCTCTTTTTCATAAAATATGTATTACTTATTACCAAATTTCTTTCTACACATAGCTCAATTAAAGGCTCCCCATTTATATTTACCCCTGGCACCCCAAATTTACCTACTACTCCCTCCATAACATTTTTACCCACTTTAGCATTGAAATCCCCAACCACCATTACTCTCACATTTGATTCAAAACTCCCCATGCATTCACTCAACATTTCCCAGAATCTCTCTCTCTCTCCTCTACACTTCTTTCTTCTCCAGGTGCATACACGCTTACTATAACCCACTTTTCACATCCAATCTTTATTTTACTCCACATAATCCTTGAATTTATACAATTGTAGTCCCTCTTTTCCTGCCATAGCTTATCCTTCAACATTATTACTACTCCTTCTTTAGCTCTAACTCTATTTGAAACCCCTGACCTAATCCCATTTATTCCTCTCCACTGAAACTCTCCCACCCCCTTCAGCTTTGTTTCACTTAAAGCCAGGACATCCAGTTTCTTCTCATTCATAACATCCACAATCATCTCTTTCTTATCATTTGCACAACATCCACGCACATTCAGACTTCCCACTTTGACAATTTTCTTCTTCTTATTCTTTTTAGTAATCTTTACAGGAAAAGGGGTTACTAGCCCATTGTTCCCGGCATTTTAGTTGACTTTTACAACACGCATGGCTTACGGAGGAAAGATTCTTATTCCACTTCCCCATGGATATAAAAGGAAAAGTAATAAGACCAAGAACTATTAAGATAAATCAAAGAAAACTCAGATGAGTGTGTATAAATAAACGTGTATATGTATGTGTAGTGTGACCTAAGTGTAAGTAGAAGTAGCAAGACGTACCTGTAATCTTGCATATTTATGAGACAGACAAAAGACACCAGCAATCCTACCATCATGTAAAACAATTACAGGCTTTCGTTTCACACTCACTTGGCAGGACGGTAGTACCTCCCTGGGTGGTTGCTGTCTACCAACCTACTACCTATATCCACACCAATAATAACTTCTCAACCTCTTCCAGTACTGGTGATCTCATTTTTGTCAGCATAGTTACTCCCTTTGCAACAACAGCATCCTTTATTTCCTTTTTCTTGGCCACTATGGAACATAAGGTTGTGTAGGGTTTCTTATACATCCTGGACAGTTCAGCCACACTTGTACCACTTTCATATTGTTCAATGATGGTTTTCTTAAATTCAGTCGTATTTTTCACCTTCTTTACCACAGGCTTGGCACTAGGAGCTTTCTTTGGAGCCATGGTAGCTTATTTAGTACTCGCAAGCACTAAAATAAATGGAATATTATGAAATATTTCGCTGGAGCATGTGAGGGGACCTTCGCTCACTGGTAAACAATGCCAGACTGGCTGCCACCCCGGCTCACGCAGTGGGTACGTGTCCCGGATGAACTACGACTCGCTAGTCAACCTATGAAAAGCGAGTCCATGTTTATACGAAAATACCCCTATGATTGGCGAATTTTACGATTGCCGGGAACTACGAAAAGCGGGGGACCACTGTATCTTGATTGGTGGTTTACTGTTATCTAGAAAATAAATCTTTAGAGAACTTGAGTTTAGGCTGGAGCATCCCCTAAGGAAGGTTCCTTGATGTTGGTGAGGGGCTCTTGATCAAGGGAATTGGATCTGTGCTTCAGTTCCCTGAATTAAGCCTGAATACCTTCCACACTCCCGCCCACAGGTGCTGCATAATCCTATGGGTTTAGCGCTCCCCCTTGATTATAATAATAATAGGCTGGAGTGTACAGTGTGTGGCAAGTGATGAGAATTAACTAGTTATGTGTATATTTTACCACTTTTAGTGGTAAGTTTCATGTCACTGCTCATGGTTTGTTGATATTTTCAGATTCATGATCTGGAAGAAGAGAACAAGGGTCTTCGTGCAGAACTCCTCATCTGTCAAGAGGCAGCCAAACAGGCCTTCCTCCGCAGTGCCAATGTCTTGAACTCTGAAGCCATTACGATGTTCCAGGTCAGACACTTCACTTATATCTTTGTTTACATGTGCTCACACACTTTTATCATCATATTATTTATGCCTTCTTTAACCTGTAAACGGTCTAAACATACGTATCCGTTCTTACCGCTAGTGCCCCAAGCGTATATAAATGTTTTATTTTTCCTGCCTTCAAATATGGCACAATTGGCCTGAGATGCCTTGTCAGCAAAGAATGGGTCTTAACCCTCAGTGTGCACCGTATTAAAAAATCTGGGACCACTTAGTACCTTGTGGGAGCACCAGTTCAAATGAGCACCAGCTAGAGCAAACACCTGGGATTCATTGATTTCATGTAGTATTAACTCTCCCATTTTAAGAAGAAAGTGATGTTGACCCTGAGTTTAGTGACTTTGGGGTGGATGTGGTCATAAGTGGTTGAGGAAATATAAAAAAACCTCGATAGTAACCCATGTGCAACATTTGTGCAACACCCTTTCAGAATGTCTTATAACCTATGCCCTCAGTAAAGAGAAGCAATTCTGGAATGTAATACTTGTTCAGCAGGCTGTTGATTGGCTGGCTGGCCAGCTGTATGGCTGGCGGGCTGCTGGTGGCCTGGCTCCGTTTGTTTGTCAGTGTCTGTCTATCTCTGTCTCTGTCTCTAGGTCTGTCTCTATCTTTGTCTGTCTCTGTCTATCTCTGTCTCACAGGTACACATAAATACAAGTTTATATAGTGTAAATTGCCTAGGATAACCCAAAAAATCCAGACAAAATGCTATGCTCTGCTTGAAGATACGAGTAAACATGATGATACAGTCTTGTGGCTAGCTAGACGGATAGACAGATAGACAGGGAGCTTGGCAGACAGACATGTTTGTGTACCAGTGAAAACAAAGGGAGGGCAACGCTCATCAAATGTCAACTCTTATGTTATATCATCTTATCACTTCACTGTCAGTGGTGGACTGAGGCTTGTTTTACTTGCTGCTGCTGCTGCCACTGCCGCTTCTTCTTCTTCTTCTTCTTCTGCTTCTTCTTCTTATGTACTTCCACATATCCAAAACATTGCTGGGACCTATAAATACTTTGTATATATTCCAAGACAATAGTAAATGGCTAAGGCAGGTGTAAATGTCCACCTGTCAGTGTGTTTGTGACAATTTGAGTACAATTTCAGTACCTAATACTAGTGTCAGAACAAAGATTGGCTATGAAATGACAAGAACTACTATAAATTGTAATTATCAGAACATAAAAATTATATAAAATAACATGAAAATTAGAAAAAAAAGGTATACAGTAGGACCCCACTTATTCGGCAGGTTAGGTTTCAGGCTTCTGCCGGAAAGCAGACATTGCTGGAAAGCAGAAAACCATTTTTTCCACTTATAAATGCATATAAATGCCAGGTAACTAGTTTACACTAACAAATATACATTAGCAATAGAACTAGGCATTAAAAACAATAAAAAGTAAAATACGTACATGCACAGTACACCCATTACTTACCTGAAAATATTTGTAGTCTTAATGTAGGGTGAGAGGTGAGTTTAATTTGTAGGAAGTCAGGTTTGGGAAGTATGGTAGCCAGCCAGGTCAGCCCACCCCACCCCACCCACACGTAATATACTACATTTAATTAAAGCTCCCCAGAGCGATAAAATATATGTACAGTACATTCAGTAATTACCTTAAAATATCTGTAGTCCTAATGTAGGGTGAGAGGTGAGTTTTATTTATAGGAAGTCAGGTTTGGGAAGTAAGGAATCCAGCCAGGGCAGCCCTCCCCTCCCTACCCACAAGTAATGTAAACAAACCAGACGAACACGTCTGGTTTTCTCTGCTTTACATTGTGTACAGGTTGACTCCACGTTGATATAGTAGAATAAATAAAGAGAAACACTCCCATTCTCATGTAACATTATTTTTAGAAGAAATGATGCCATGAGTGAAGGGATACTTAGGTACAGGTACACATACATATAATTTTCAGTTATAATAATAATGTAGGTATGTAGTCCACTTGGGCTACCTACCTACATAGCTACACGATATTTAATGCGGCCCAAAGCCATATTATTACCATCGACATACCATGTTCACTGAGTTTAATCGTTTCTGACAACTACCATCATAAACAAAGGGAGAAGTAATAAATAATTCAAGCCGAGAATAGTAAACAAAAACGTTATGTATTAAGGGGAGTGATGTAATGTTTTCCCTCTGCCTGGCTACTACACCTCCATAGTATATAAACATAAAATGTTTATATGCTATGTAACGTGTTTCTTATATAATTTTGAAGAAAATATCATAGGTGAATTGATGAAAATGTCTATATTAACATAAAATTAGACATTTAATGTGCCCAAGAGTGATTATTATTACATAATAGAGAGATGTGTTCATGGAGAATGTAAACAAACCAGGTGGCACGCGCTGTATTAGTGGAACGCTGTAAGGCAAAACGCCAAAAAGCGGGGCCCTACTGTATCGGCAACACTTCTGCAAGCGGCAGGACTCGATGTTGCCATCATGTGAGCATCCAGTGCTAACTTCTCGGCCTAATATCTCTGTAAGTACTGACCCTAATTTTTTTTTTTATCCTTTAACACTTAAAAAAATGTGCTCTTTATTTTCATAAAAAAAAAAAAAAAATTAATTTTTTCAAAATATTTGGGGCACTGGGGTAGTGAACGTATATGTTTGGACCGTTTATGGGTTAATGTACGTACATATATAATTTCTAGCAAAAACGGCTTCTTCACTTTCATGAATTACAATTATTTTTCATAAAACTATGTTTGATTTGCATGTTTACACATGTGCTGGCATCTTTTACTTAATCATTTCATTGTCCCATACATCACTTGGCTAGTTCCCAACAAGTGTCATATTGCCTGGAAAATACCAGACTGCTCATATGAGTATTGCAGAGAGACTGTTCATAGTGCACTCTTACATAGTTCTTTTTAATAGAATGGTATTCACATTTATATTAAAAAAAATATCGGAGCACGATTTGCCTTGGTCAGTGCACCTTAAAAGTTTTAAGAAACGTGGCCCAGGCATGAAAACTTTTTTGGCAAAAGGGTGAATGTATGAAAGTACATATAAGGGATACCAACATTTATATGAAGCATTGGTTGTGAATTTTGTAGTGAGGAGGAAGCTAGAGGCAGTGGAGATGTGTCTGAGGGCAATATGTGGTGTAAATATTATGCAGAGAATTCATAGCTTGGAGATTGAAAGGAAATGTAGTGTTACTAAAAGTATTATCCAGAGAGCTTAGGAGGGGTGGTGGAGGTGGTTTGAACATTTTGAAAGATTGGAAAAAAATAGGATGACTTGGAGGGTGAATAAATCTATGGAGGGAAGGTAGGGTAGGGGTTGCTTTAGGTAAGGTTGGAAGGAGGGGACAAAGGAGATTTTGTTTGCAAGAGGCTTGGACATCCAGCAAGCGTGTTTGAGTGTGTTAGGAGTGAATGGAAGCAAATGGCTTTTATGACTTGATGAACTGTTGTAGTATGAGCAAGGTAATATTTATGAAGGGATTCATGGAAACTGATTAGCCTGACATGAGTCCTAGAGGTGGGAAGTACAGTGCCTGCACTCTGAAGGAGGGGTGAGGATATTTGCTGTTTGGAGGGGCACCACATCTTTGGAAAAACAGTGATGGAGTAAGTTTCTTCTTTATCAGATCACCCTACCTTGGTGGGAGATGCCCAGTGTGTTTAAAAGGAAAAACATATTTATATGGCCTGGGCAGAGCTTGATGTTGACTCTGGGTCAATATGGAGTATGCTTTAGTGGTCCTCGTAACCTCAGCAGATGACTGACTCACAGCTGTCAGCTGATTGAATATAAAACAGATGCCTCACACCTGTCTGCCATTCACAGCACACATAACCAACTCCAAACACTTCTTTATCAACAAGCAAGTAAAACTAAGAAATGTGAGGTACATTAAAATTCTTCCTTGACACTATTATAAACGAGGAAACTGTATAGCGAATCGTGTGATTGTGTCATGTAATAAACTGTATGACTGGAGTCGGTTAATAAAAACACATGCCACAGCCATCTACTGCACAGTGAGCTAGTACATAACTGTCTCCAAAGACTTTTTCATCAGCCAGCAAGTGAAACAAAATATTTAAGATAGGGTAAAGCTCTTCAATACTTTTGAAGCATATTTTGTGATAAGATTGTGTATTAAATTCATAATAGTAGCTGGGCAGTGTATTGGCCATCATCGTTTTCTATGGCTGGGGCACCATGCCAGTTTTCTGCAAGGGATGGAGGTACACTGTCAGTCAACAGCATCTAACACAAGCTTCCATGGGCATTAATAATCAAGTTTATTTAGTAAGTTTTTATTTAGGATTTCAGTATATACATACCATACATTTCTGTATCAACAAGCAATCACTTTTACAATATATTTTGTCACAACTTAATTATTTCTGCTTTTTTAATTGCATTAAATATTGAACACTAGGTACACTAGTTTCTTATAATATTAGTTGTGTTTAAAGATGTATTAGCATTTCAAACATAGGGAAATGCCTAGCCCAACATTGCTCCATTTGCAATATTTGGTGTATATCTATGATAGAATTGTGCTTTATTCTATTCTTTATACTATTTTAGTCTTCTAATGATGTGTACAAGGAATACTTATAATATTACAATTGTTTCAGAGTGTAATATTCCTCAAAACATAGAAATAAGTGATATTGTTTGTATTTATTCAGTTATCCTGGGTTAAATATACTGCCCTCTACATTATTGGAGGCAACTGCCTTGAACATTATTGGAAGCAGCTGCCCTCTACATTAAGTCACATTAATTTCTCATACTAATATAAAAGCATTTTCACATTGATGAACATGTTTTTCTGGGTACCTTAATCCTGTGTTTTAGTATGCCATTTTAAGAGAGCCTTAGTTTATTGAAAGACATTACATAATAATTCATCATCTCTTTATTGAAATACAATGTATAACAGTAGCTGGAATAATGTTCCAG